GATATATAATTTCAAAACGGGAGAGCTAATTGGTCGATTTTAGTCAAGAAACATTGTTTTATAGCTTAATTAATATCTTGACCTTGAGAGGGAGCTATATAACTTAAAGAGTTTATTATTTACAATTTCATAACTTTAGACTCGATTTCAACCGCAACAACGATCCCTGAATATTGTAGGATCGCTTATGCTTCCAATATGTTCATTTGAACCAAATGCATGACCCCATCCCAAAACTTTGTATAACCTTTAAACGACACACAAATACACTATGCAGTGTTGTTTTTAGTATGTGGCATTGTGTATTTTTCATGCTAACTAGTATTTAAATGAAGTGCAAGGAAAGTAAATGAAAATTCAAAGTTTCTAGCAGAGTTGTTCAACTGTGTGAGGTTAACCACACAATCAGGTGGAACTCATACATAGGCTTGAGTACCAATGACATTGCTGATCATGAGAGACAGAAACACCAGGGACTAGTAATTGGTTTACAGAGGTTAATAGCAATTGGTTCGTCGACAGCCACAAAAGAATGGAACACATGAATGATATCAAAACACGAGGGAAACATAAAAAATAAATCGTATTGCATGATTATAATTCTTCACCTTCTTCTTCTTCTTCTTCTTCTTCTTCTTCTTCTTTTTTTTTTCTTCTTCTTCTTCTTCTTCTTCTTCTTCTTCTTCTTCTTCTTCTTCTTCTTCTTCTTCTTCTTCTTCTTCTTCTTCTTCTTCTTCTTCTTCTTCTTCTTCTTCTTCTTCTTCTTCTTCTTCTTCTACTTCTTCTTCTTCTTCTTCTTCTTCTTCTTCTTAATTAGTAGTAGTAGTATTATATTTATTGTTATTATTAATCTTTTTGAAATTATTATTATAATCATGATCATAATAATCATTACTATCATGAATTCAAAGGACATTTATTTTCTTATTATTATTAAATCACGACAAAATGAAATAAACTTTAACATATGTATGGAGGAAGGAGATGTCACCTTGAGGCTTGTGGTGGGGTTATCATCCACATTTTATTTTGTAAATTGACATGAATACAGATGCTACATATATGTTTTATTTGTCTGTCCCATTTAAGTTTTAATGTTATTAGAACTTTTACCCACTGACTACAGGATGTTGGTGGTTTCTGTATTAAAGTTCATATGCAAAGGAGATTATAAGTAGTCCAGTTCAACAGGGTAACTCTGGCCACATTAAATCAGCTAAAATTACATCTGATAGCAGCCAGAAGTGTGTTAATGCATATATGCATAAATTCATAGTTAACTAACTTGCTCCAAACAGAGGACATGTAGCATTCCAATATCATCAACATGTCATCAGTATGAGCAGATACTCGTACCTCTATGAAAACCACATTATGTACCGGAACAGTAATGCGAAGCTCACATTTTGTGATAGCAAGGCAATGCCCCTACTTGTAGAGCTCCCAGATCTGTCATCGATGCTCATCAGATGGGTAACAGAAAGAAAAGGAATGTCATTATCAGCCTAAGTTTTAAAAGAGCTGCTAATTTGATGAGGGAAAATTAACACAAGCTAATTCATAGTGGAGACACAGTCAAGTAGTGGACTATTTCACCTGCATGCACATCATGCTTGGGATAACATCAGCCCGAGCTCTTTATATTTCAAGCTAACCGAGGCTTGTTTGTGAAATAGCCTTCTATTTGACCGATTAACATGCCAATTCACCGGTCAATATGCACCTGGTTGGCTTGGATTTTCATGCTCTGTATATAGCTTGTAGCTTGATCGAGTTGAGATGGCTCAACAGACAGGACACAACACTTTTCATTTTGGCCTATACTTTGAGAGCTGCTCTGTGATCCAACATTTAATCTGACCGCAGTTACCTAGAGCTTAATTTTGTCAAATGTATAGGGTAAGAGTTAGATTTCTAAAAGATGAAGGTCAGGTTTAGGTCTAGGTATAGTTCTAGGTCCAGGGTAAAAGCTGGGAAATTTGGTTGATAGAGGAAATTTACTGCAGAGCAATTTTTGCCAGAGCATCAGGGTCCTGTTTCATAAAACTTGTTATCAATAACAAATGCCAAATTTTTATGACAAATTTGCTCTCAGCCAATCAAATGCCATGATTTCAGTAGTATATAACAGTTATCATTTCACTTGTCACTTGTTATTGATAAGAAGTTTTATGAAACAGGGCCGAGAGTTGGACAACCGAAACACGGATCTCAAGCTCAGGCTTGCTTTGGCTCATGGAGAAGCACCAAGAGAGAGAGAGATAGAGAGAGGGAGGAAGGGAGGGAGAGAGAGAGGGAGAGATAGAGGGGAGAGACAGAGGGGAGAGACAGAGAGAGAGACACAGAGAGAGAGAGAGAGAGAGAGAGAGAGAGAGAGAGAGGGAGAGATAGAGGGGGAGAGACAGAGAGACAGAGAGAGACAGAGAGAGAGAGAGAGAGAGAGGGGGAGAGGGAAAGGGAGAGACACAGAGAGACACAGAGAGACAGAGAGAGGGAGAGAGACAGAGACGGAGAAAGGAAGAATGTGGGATGCTATGTTGATTTCATCTTCTGCTCTCACTGATAAAGGTCTTTGTTATTCATTGAAACATTGCCTCGTTAGCACCTCGTTACTGCATTCTCGCCCGCTGGCTAAGATGTAATGGTCCGCACCCTGCCGCGCTGAACACCTTGTCTCGTAAATCGATGTCATTTTCAATTTATGTCAGCTGGCCTCCCAATTATCATTTATCCATTTAGACAAGAGGACCAACCGCACTCCACCACTCAGAGCTTAGCTTTACATGGCCATTTTTATTGGTATGTGTGACCAAAAAAACAAACACATACAGGTGTAGGAGATATATAGATGAATAGCAGCCTTATGAATAACTCATGATACAAACCTTATCTTCTCAACAATCTCTTGGGGGGGGGGGAGGGCTTGTGAGTGATACAGTTGCCCTTCATGGTGAGTAGTTAAAGTTTGTTTATTCATCATATCTATTTCTATTATTTTCTGGAGTAAGTCGACACAGTGTCATTGATACTTGTGAATTCACAAAATGGGGATCTTTTAAAATCGATGTACCTACATTTCACACAAAATCTGCTGTTTAATAAGAAATAATAACCTTTGAAAACACGGTTCTTTAGAAAAATGTAAATAGTTATTGTTTAATGTACTATGGTGTTTAGCAGAATGTAGACAAGAAGAATGAAAATGAAAACGGAACACAACCTGTGAAAATGTGTAACTCGTAATTTTATACCAGAGTTCTAAAGAACCGTCTTATTAGGACCATGTCATAAGGACATGAAGCTGGAGATATTTATATTCCTTGATTAGCCTAAATGGTATCAAACTCTCATTTAGATACTTACATGTAGGTTTAAATGGCACTTATTCATACACCAATTCACCAGCATTTATGCCTTTTCCGTTAGGGCTGTGTCTTTTTGAGCCAATACATATAAGCTGCCTAATGTAACAAGTAATCACATTACACAAGTAATAATGATGATAATAATAGAGTCTTGTATTATTATTATTACCCAGTTGTACTATATACCCTACTGTTATACAGTATACCTCTCAAGCATTTTAAGGAATTAATTCCTGTGGGTACACATTAGTACCCTAATATCTTGAGGCGCCTTGAGCATTTAATTAGAATGGATAATGGCGCTATATAAATCTCAAGTATTATTATTATTATTATTATTATTATTATTATTATTATTATTAACCTCACTAGTGTTGAGCATGGCAAATGTAGATTAATGTCTTCCCAAAGGACATAATTGCTGTAATTAGCAGTAATGATTGTGTAGTTATAGCATTTGGTTTTAACTTTTTAAAGGGCTATAATAATGCCTTGCAACCTTCTCTAATAATATATTCCTTTACTCAGATTTCTCCATTTCTATGAATCCAGTATTTGTGGTCCCTATGGATAAAACGATGGAACCCTATCCAACCATTAAACACCGCAATGGTTCATCATTTTTATTTTAATGAAGATTCCTGCATCTCAAAACCTTCTTGTAGCTACAGGTGTATGAAAGGGAGAACAAAAGCATATGGTGATAGGGCTTTCACTCATTTTATAGCACCATTTCTGTGGAATTCCCTTCCAAACTCATTACATTGTATATCCAATATTGAAACATTCATATCTGAACTAAAAACTCATCTCTTCAAATTAGCACATCAATAATATTTGAGGATAAGTAATGTTATAATTTTTCTCTTTGTAAGCACTTCATTGTTTTCTATATATGTTTTTGTTTCATCTTCCTTTTATGATCGTATTATACTTTATATAATTATGTTTATTGTAAAAATGTAAAGTGCATTGAAATGTCAACAGACATGAAATGCGCTATAAAAGAACAAATTATTATTATTATTATTAAGAAATAAGAATAATTATTTTCTCAACGTAAATTCTTATCTCATTTCAGCTTCTCATGTTGTGATGTAGTATAACAATGTTTTATTGTATTATTACTTAATTTATTTTACAATTCTGTTATGTAATCTTATTGGGAAGTATGTCTACATTGGCATTCTCATGTTATAATTTATCATATGGTAAGAAATATATAATTTTTCACAATGTATTTTTAAAATGCTTACCGGTAATCACTCAACCAATTTTCCCTGTTAAATTTCTGATTTCAACTGTATTCATTTCCCATTGTTCTTATTTGAATGAATTATGATAGCGGATTTAATTTTTTTATTTGGTTTTCCTTTTAAGTCGATATGATTTTGTTTGATATGATTTTGTTGGAGGACAAAATGTAGTATGTTCATATCCACTAAAGATTGGCCTCTCACCACGCAATAAGTAACTGTCCCTCCTTCCTTCCTTCCTTCATTCTTTTTAACCTAATATCTCTCTCTCTCTCTCTCTCTCTCTCTCTCTCTCTTTCTCTCTCGCTCTCTCTCTCTTTCTCTGTCCCTCTGTCTGTCTCTCTCTCCTACTCTCGTCTGTCATGTTCTCCCATTACAGAGGCCGTTATCAGAGCAGAACGAACTCCGATCTCGATGGAATGAACTTGGAACGGAAGAGCCAGGTAGGAATGCCATTACATTCCTAATTTTAAACTCTGTGTTCACCAAATAAAAAAATTAAAAAAATTAGAAGGTCTTATTCACAATCTCTGCTTAAATGTATGTAGAAAATATAATATGTTTGCTGGGTAAAATAGTGTGTGGGGGCTTGTTCTAACCCAGCCAATAAAGCAAAAGAATGATCGTAATAACGATTAAAATTTGAAATAAAAAGGAGTTTGATTTGGTCAAATCAAGTAAGTGTTCCCTTCTTTAAATACTTTAGCGACTATTTCTAGTGTTTTTGGTCTGGTATATGTCCTTGGTATTTTATGGACATATTTTACAATACAATCAGCCAATCCTTGAACATGCACACTACCAATTACAATTGTGATGCTGCTAGAACGTGGCACGGCATACAAGTGTAACCTGTATGAGGCAATCACTTTGAGCAAGTGAGCATATATGTAGCAGCAACAGGGTGGATTAAGCTAAAGCATTTAATTACAATTTAGAGAAAAAGAATACATGTCCCCTCTAATATTTGCTTTCCACTCTACTATTCCACAGATTTGGGTAGCTTTCGACCAGTGTATGGACCAAAGGATTTCCTTGACATGCTAACAACCATTAAACACCCTAATCTTGACGTGAATGGTCCTACCTTGTCACCACAGTGGGGTCTAATCTATCTACCTCTAAAAGTCAAAACACTACCTCAATTGGTGAGTAATTGTTTTCTAATCCTCTATATTTTATTTTTTTCAAGAATTTCCTTTCAAGTTTGTAAAAACCTATTTTTATTCTTTTCACTTTTAGATATTCTTTTAAAACCCATATTCACATCTGTTACATTTGTATATCATGAAAGAGGTGATTGGTTCTGAAAATACTGATTTTTCAATGATTAGTGATGAGAACACAGTATATATGCAAAATTATGCAGTATACATACATGTACACTGTTTCAAAATGACAGTGGCATACATGTTGTTGTGAAGGAGCAAAGGGGGTGGGGCAGGGGGGGGGGACAAATATACCCCCATTTTTATGATGAAAGAAAGATGAAAAGTAATTTTGTTAATTAAATAAAGAAGAAGAAGAAAAACAAGAGTGTGGAAAGTCAGCTGAGAAGGAGATACTAAATTTACAACCCCCCCCCCCCCAGTGCCCTGGTTAAGTAGCTCCTCTTGGCCCAACCAGCTCCCCCTTGCTATGTTTTCCTCATGCTGCATTAGTAGCAATAGTAGATGTTAAACAATGGAATAAAATGAAGAAATTAAGTTTTGACTTGCTATCAAGCCAGTTGAACATGTCTGTGTATTATGTGCCGGCAATTCTTTTTGTAGAACAAATTTGCTAGTCTTGACTCTGACCATAGTACCCATTTTAGCAATGTCATTGCCAGAATAGCCCCCCCCCCCTCCCCCAAACAAAAAACAACAGCACACAAACACCAGCAACAACAAAAAGCCCTTGTTAAGTTGCTGTTACAACTCCTCTTGGTCTTGGTCTTGGCCTAACCATCAACAAAAAAATACTAACATCTAGTTTAATCACGTTCATGCACATGTTTATTACATTCTTCCCAAGAATCAACTGAAATAGATTGAAATTGATGATAATCTGGTCATTTAGAGCAAACTCTTTCTCATCAAGCGGTCATATGATTGAAAGGGTGTAGTTAATTGAAAGATAAATCAATCAATAGTCTTTCCTTATTAGTTTTTATGATGAGATTAGAACTAGGGTAGTCGATACTTTCTGTCACCTTTTATGATAGACAAATCAGTCATGGTATGTACATTTCTCAACCTGAATACTCTACCTGTGAGGGACACATACACAAGATAGAGGTGTTGTGGCCTAGTGGATAAGTCACCTGACTGCAGATCACAAAGTACGGGGTTCGAGTCCTACCCCGTCTCTAACGTCCTTTGGCAGGACATTAATCCACATTCGCCACTCTCCACCCAGGAGTTAAGAGGGTACCCGGTAGGATGCACAAGTGTGCGCTTGTTAAAATGATGCCTGGCTGGAATGCTCCCCAGGGAGTGGAGAATGTGCATACATTGTGTGCGGGTAAGCCCAAATCCGATGACCAGTGTGAAAGAGAAAGAGGTAGAAAGAGAGAGAGAGGGGGGGGGGGGGGGGAGAAAGTGATGAGAAAGGGGGGGGTGGAGAAAGAGAGAGAGAGAGAGAGAGAGGGAAAAGGAGTGACACAGATGCATGGTGACAGAAAGAAAAAGAATAAAACAGGCTTATGTACAGAAAGAGAGAGAGAAAGTGAGAAAGACAGAGATAGACAGATAGACAGAAAGAAGATGTGGCAGAGAGAGAGACCGGTCGAGAGATATATAGTGAGAAGTTTGTTTAGCATTGGAATTGCTTAATGATGCGACATTTCATATTTCACAGCCCATTTCCTAATCAGTGTACTGCTCATATCTTCGCTCCATGGGCTCTAAACGAAGGAGGCACTGACCTCCTATTTTAATACCGGTAGGAAATCACACCGCTTTAGAAGAAAACAGGAATAGACAAGACAAAATCAAGCCTTCATTTAAGATGTGATCTCTACCACATCCGTTTTTTGAATGACTGGTATTAACGTGAAAGTACCATCTAAGGTCAAAACACTCTTATGGGGCCTCAGGATGGGGAGATGTTTTGCTCGAGGGAGGATGGACTTTATTTTGAATTTGGGAGTATACCTGCATGCACACTTCAGAATGGAGTGTGTTCTTTTGCTTGATTTATTTATAAAGGATTGATAAATGTTGTAAACAGTGGCTTTTAGGAAAACTCACAAATCTGAGAATAATCATATATTTGTCTCTGATAGATGCTATATGTCATTGTAAACACTTGTCAGAATAACATTGTTTAATTCACATGGGGATAATGGTATGTTTGTGAGTATATTTCCAAGCTTTATTTTATAATAATTTCAGTGTTGAAATCTTTTGTTAAAACCCTTGTGTGCTATGGGAAGCAAAAGAATATCAATATTATTATACTTTCTTTGGATGGGAAATATCTAGATTTTTTCCCCCTGATATACAAACTTGATATGCATATTTTAAATTTTTTTTTTTTAAATAAATGTGCATGTACACTGTACCTTAATAATTAGCAATTTTGGGTATGTTTGAAAGGTACACTGTGGAGTGGAGGAAAGTGACAGAGAGGGAGAAAGAGAAACAACATCAGAGAGAGATAGAGAGAGTGAGAGAGAGAGAGAGAGAGAGAGAGAGAGAGAGAGAGAAACAACATCAGAGAGAGAGAGAGAGAGAGAGGGGGAGAGAGCGAGAGAGAGAGAGAGATTGAGAGAGATAGAAAGATTGAAAGATAGATAAAGAGAGAGAGAGAGAGAGATATATAGAGGGAGATAGAGAGAGAGGGAGAGGGAGAGAGAGATTGAAAGAGAGAGAGAGAGAGAGAGAGAGATTGAGAGACAGGTGGAAAGAAAGATGAGACAGGAAGACAAATACAGAAAAAAGAGATTAAGATAACGAGAGGAACAGAGAAGATGTACAGACATGCAGAGAAAGAAAAAGAAAGAGAAACAACATCAGAGAGAGAGAGAGAGAGAGAGGGGGGGGGGGAGATTGAGAGAAAGATTGAAAGATAGAAAAAGAGAGAGAGAGAGAGAGAGAGAGAGATTGAGACATAGGTGGAAAGAAAGATAAGACAGGAAGACAAATACAGAAAAAAGAGATTGAGATAAAGAGAGGAACAGAGAAGATGTACAGACATGCAGAGAAAGAAACAGATATACAGTAGAGAAGGCAATAAATAGAGATAGAGAGATAGAGAGAGAGACAGAGAGAGAGATTAGAAATTGGAAATGAATCACGGAAATCGAACTCCTGAAAATGAAAAGAAAGAGGGAAAGAAGGGGGAGTCAGGATAGAGAGATTGGAAAAAAGGGGATAGAATTGAGCCTTTATGAGGAGGAAATTGCGCTGTTGGTGAAGCATGAGAGATAGAGAGGAGAAAAGAAGTGCTAACCTTTTGAAAAATCATGACTTTTTGTTACCCAATCTCAGATTCCAGTACTATTTTCCAACATCAGATATGCCATCTAGTCACGCACATGTTCCGCTAATATTTGCTCCCAGACGGCTGGCGCTTTCACAAGGGCTGAGCTACATTATTTCCCTTCTAATTTTCTAGATTTTTTTCTAGATTTCTTCTTGCCTTTCGTCGTATTATATTGCCGGGTCTTGTTTTTCTTTCCAAAAGCCTTGTACTTGTTTTGACTGATCAAATATTTCTGTTTTCTATCCTGTTGTTCTGGTAATCTTTGTCACTAGCTCTTTTTTTTATCTATTCTGTTTCTCTTCCCCTGTCTGTCTGTATGCTTGTATCTGTCACTGTATCTCTCCCTCCCTCTCTCTCTATTTCTTTCATTCTTTCTTTCTTTCTTTCTTTTCTAGATGTTTACTTTATTTATTTATCTCTTTCTCTACCATTTTAATGTAAGCATATCTGTCTTTACTCTGGTTCTCGATAAGTCTCTATTCAGGTCAAAGTTCAACTTTCATGACATATTGCCATGCATTTTTGTACATCAATATTTTTTTTTATAAATTCCTACTTTGAAATTAAATTGATAGTACTAATGGGTAGGTTAGCATGTTTCAGAAATGCAAATTCCCCCACTCAGTTAAGCTGTCAAGAGTGGATCATATTATTCCTTTAACTCTCATTGATGTATATGAATGCAAATAAAATAGCTGAGTGATCAAACACTTTTAAATGCGAAATACAAGACCTATATATGCAAAAGAACTAAAATAAATTAATTTTGCTAAACCTTTTGGTGGTCTGGCACCCTCATGTAAACATTGCTTGATGTTCACATGTATTCCATCAAAGATGTAATGATAAATCTTAGGTTTTGATCGTATTTTAAGTTAGGTTCAATTTAGGTTTAGGGATAAGGCTCTATGTATGGGCCAGGGTTGAAGTTGAGAATCCGACTAAAGTGTTTGCAGACCTGTTGTAGGTGACTGCAGAAGAATTTGTTGTTGGAGCATACATTAAACATTCCCCGGTTTTCATCCCTGAACAAGTCCTATTGAACTAGCTCTTTCATCACAAATTTAGCGTGAATATGTCCAAACAGACATTTTGCTGACCTAACAATAAAGATACAGAATAATACCACTGTAACATATACCTTTTCATCATGTTAAATTGTCATTTCTTTGTGTGATCTATTTATAATGAAAATTGCCTGTTTTGTATTAAAAAGGATTTTAAAAAGAGATCAGTTTACCCCAATTCTTGAGTTGACCTTCCCCTTTCTTTGTAAAAGGAAACCTCAATTTACACCTTAAACGTATTTTAAAGACCCTGTTAGTTGTGAAAATGAAATAGATGAATTATGTATCACCGGAAAGCTAAGCCATAGATTGCAGTAATATAAATTACTGTCAGTGGAGTAAAAACTTTCTGCCTGAAAATTGGAAAGCTAGAAAATCTGAAGTTGTCAATTACCTAGAAACTAGCCATCAACTTGGTGGCATCATCTTTCTTGTACGCATCTTCACATCGGCTTTGAATTTAATCAGCACAGCTCATTGCCTCAGCCATATAGACGGGCCAAAGTGGTCCACATGTTGTGTTGTCACCTGACTGCAGCAAATTTTACTCCTGTTGACCCGTAATTTGGAGGGATGCAGAAAATTATGTTTTCATTTTCTTTTTTTGCAAT